TTCTTTATTCCTCTTTCTTTCGAAAATTTCCAGCAATTCAACAAACCGAATTTTTTTTTTTTTTTTGTATATATACACATTTCTGTACGTTATATACAAAAAAAAATATACAAATTTTATACATTTTTGCGGTTATTGGATTGTAAATAGTTTCGGCCGCGAGCTAAAAGTGAACTTTGTCCTATTTTAAAGTTGTTCATTTTAGTTCGTTTTATCTTATTTAAATTTTTTTTTTCCAAATTTTTTCTTCATGAAATTCGGAAGGAAATGAGTTTCCAATACTTTTCAAAGATTAGATCTTTTGCAATATTTCTTGGAACAAAACAGAAGTGTATAAAAGATTGAACCTAAAGAATATCTTAGCCAGGATATGCCAGTTAAGGCCTTTTTCTTGGTTCAGGAACCTAAACTAGGGACAATTCTACTTCTACACACTACATTATAGACAGTTTGAGGTAAAACCTGTTTAATCATGGTAAAAACTTGTTTAATCATCACGAATCCGACAACAAAATAAGAGCCAATTCCAATAGAAGCAAACGCGATTTCACGTTATTTTTCATTTCTTTCACCATCCAGTGAGAACACTGTATTTCATTTATGTAAATATTTATCTAAATAACCAAGAAAATAATTTGCTGATCAGATACAAAAACCAGACCTGAGCAAAGTTAAAAATCGACAATAAGAATCTAAGAATGCTGTATCAACACTTCATTCGTTTCCTGAGAATGAAATCTTTGATAAAAAGTGGAAGGTGGTACATGATTGCAGCAATAGTAGAAAAATGGCCAGTAGAAAACCAAGCTGGAGGTTTCTCCTTTAGCACGGCGTTCACCGTCCTCTTTGCAAATTCTTCTGCAGGAGTTGATCTTGGTCCTTGTGAGAAATGTGCTCGTGCCCGGATTGCTTCTTCAAATTTCTTGTATAACTTCCACTCTGGCATTCTACTGTAATTGGCAATTGCAGAGTTTCCAATGTTTGACGTCACAGCTCCAGGGACAACAGCGATGACATCAATGCCAAATGGCCGAAGTTCTAGTCTACATACAGCGCATAGTAGAGCAATAAGGACCACAACATAAACACAAGCATATGCTATTCCAAGGAGGGAACAAGAAAATAAATTTGTTGAAAGAACTAATCCGTGCTGAGGACTTGGATATTGGAGTAAACCAGCTAATAACAAGCATTGCTTAAAATAGAACTCAATCTGTCTGTCAGCTCCGGTATCAGGAACTAATTTCAGAATTATATTACCATCCAACTATAGGTGAGATAATAATAGTAAATTGAAGAAATGATGTAAGTGTATCCGCCAAGAGGATAGCTCCTCTTTTTTATGGGATAAAAATGCAATCTTTATAACTTTGGAGAAAATTTTGGGTCTCTTCATACTAAACAAAATTATTCTCCCACAACCTAGAATAAGTAACAACAACAAAAAATCCAGTGAGATCCCACAAAGTGGGGTATGGGGAGGGTAGAGTGTACGCAAACCTTACCCCTACCTTATGAAGGTAGAGAGTATGTTTCCGATAGACAACCTAGAACAAGTAAAAACGGGAATATTTTGGTGAATGAATGAATCATAACTCACCCACTAGTATCCCACTATGACCTGCTTGGACTCGGGTACATAAGCCAGCTACATCTCTTTGTCAAATGCTAGAAAAGTTGACATCTAAGTTGAGCTATTATTCTAGTCTTACCTGCTGGGACTTAAGTATACAAGTCGGCAAGGTCTTACTGGTAAAGGCTATTCAAGTTGACATCCTTAATATTGAGCTATACCACCTTATTTTATCTGATATCTCCTTCTGTTTAATCTTCTTTTTCCTTTTCCATTGCACCCTCATAAAATCCAGAATCAGAGTGGGATGGTATGGATGTGGTTAAGGAATTCTCACCCTGCAAACTTCTTTAAGCATCTCTCGCACTCATCAACACCCTCCCATTATATGGATGGACTTTGCACCTCCATGGAGTTACTTTACCAACTCAGCATCTTTTCTAAGATTTGCATCAACTTTCAATGTCGCCCAATATTTCCCATAAACTCAAAGATGGACTATCTGAGAGAGAGGATACCTAGACAACTAAAAAGATAGAGAAGGAGTTGGCTGTCGGAGATGGTAGAAGACAGCCAAATGGATGAGAGAGAAGGCGTCCAGGTCCTTTTTGAGAATAACCAAAAGTAATCCTATCTTTGTTCCCAACTTGAATGTCCTGTTTGACTTGGCATTTTCATTAAGAAGAGTTAAAAAAGGAGAAACATGTTTCTAGTTAGAAAGTGGTAAAATGTGAGGTCAGGTATTGCTAACTCTACTATTAATTTTTCAAATTTGAAATAGCTTAAAGAACTGGGTTTTTTAAAAGAACTGTAAAATGTGGACTCATAATGTTTTAGAAACTTCACTTTTAGGACGGTGCGCAAAGGGGAAAAATGACATACAATCTGGAGGGTGCCAAATTTCAGTTTTTGATCAGCTACGATAACATTTTTCATATTTCTTTTCATAAGCAACCTGTTCAATTATGATAATTTAGGATCTGGATACAATAGCATCACTCCGCGTACAACCATGAAAGGGTCATTTTCTTGGCTATCACCTAGGAACTATCTCCACCAAGCAAGGACTACTTAACATAAAATATATGTAAACCTTAGAAACACAAAGAATGCAAATACAAGTCCATAACAATGTCCAGTGTTATTAAAGGAGAAAAGCGCAAAAATGCTAGAGTCTATCGGGCTTTATATGAAAAGGGTGAAAAGGCAGAAAAAAATACAAAAATATATATGTAATTCGAGAAAATGTTAGAAGTGAGGATTCATATAACTGACCCAACTTGTTTGGGATTGAGGCTTCGAGAGTAATAACTAAAAGCACCAATATAAGTTATATAGACAAAACATTATAAAAAATCTTTATTGTTTAATGTCGCCTCTTTAGGATAAGCCTATTTTGCACCTAGCTTCGGGGCTTAAGCGTGCTTTACGCGAGCTTTTGACAACACTTTAGGCTGAAGATTTAGGAGTAAAATAAGCTTTCCAACATGAATATCACTACTCAGAAAAAATTTAACAATACTGTGAACTATGCAGCAGCTTACTTATATGTTATAACAATCAAGGTGCACAACCTGATTTGACCAGGTAACTGGTAGTAAAGGGCAGAACTATATCTCCATGTGATGCTATCAGCCTACAACACTATCTCAGTGTCTGATTTAGTCTCAAATAGGGTACTAACCAGTTAACAGACTGAACCTTGGCTTCCTATTTTCAGCCATGACTTTTGCAACCTGGCCAACAATGTGTTCTTCAGAACTACTCCATGCAAGGCAGCCCGGTGCACTAAGCTCCCGCTATGTGCGGGGTCCGGGGAAGGGCCGGACCACAAGGGTCTATTGTACGCAGCCTTACCCTGCATTTTTGCAAAAGACTGTTTCCACAGCTCGAACCCGTGACCTACTATTCACATTGCAACAACTTTATCAGTTACGCCAAGGCTCCCCTTCTTCGGAACTACTCCATAAGAAGCGAAAAAGATACTTATGAAGTCAAAAAGTTTGATCATAGGAGGAAAACAATGGCGGAAAAGTAATTTCGTTTAAAGCTGAGGTTTGAATAGGTGATGCCTCATCCGATGCAAAGGTAACTATGCGAGAAGGTGAACATGTCCAGAGAAATTTATCTGGTTTCCAGTAAATCTTAAGTATGGAGTTTGAGTCTTTAATCATAGGAGGAGAACAGAGTAAAAAACCGTAATGTGGTTCAAGGAAGAGAAAATCAACTACTTAATGACAATCTAATAAAAATAAAGCACCCAAAAACTAAAGATAGAATAAGATAACAAAGTTTAAGAGCCTGTAATAAAATTTATCAGTTTTTGCTTGGCTGCAATCCAAAACAAAGTTGGCTATAGCATACAAGCATACCTCAAGGTATCAGTAAATGAGTGTACAGCAGCTTTGGATGCACTATAAGCACCTGACCATGGTCCTGGAGCCAGAGCAATGCAACTTCCAACATTTACAATTTTCCCTTTCTTCCTAGATGCCATGTGAGGAACAACAGATTGAATTAACCTTATGGGACCTATAGAATATAAAAAATGTCATATACCCAGAAAAAAGGAGAAAAAGAGATTTCTGCCAGGACTTAGAAAAAATATAAAAGAAAGCTAAGAGAAGAAAGAATTAAAAAATGAGGTAAATAATCATTTATTCCAAATTTGACAAAGTAAAAAAGGCAGCCTGGTGAACTGAGCTCCCATTATGTGCGGGGTTTGGGGAAGGGCTAGACCTTGCATTTCTGCATACCCACACGATGACAACTTTTACCATCGCGCCAAAGCTTCCCTTCCAAATCTGACAAACTACAGATGGAAACTATTTATTTGGAAGAAATGGATATACTATGATTTTTGTTATCCGGACCAAGAGGTGTGGGATGTGAACATGGAAATGTCATTGATGATGCTAATAGTCATGCAAGTTGAGAACATTAGTTTACATAAACTAAGGTGACCATATAAACACCTACCGTTATGTGTATATACTTCCACAGTCTTTCTATTTTTCCTAGCATAATTTGATTTATTACTGCTATATTAGATTGAAAGGAAAACATTTCCCTTTAGGAAGTTCCAACAATGTGTCAATCTCCCAACAGAACAGAATTCTAACATGAACAACACTATGCATTCCGACCTTCAATCCCCAACAACCGTGCCAAGTCAAGAAGAATGTCAAATGTGGGGCGAATGGAACATTATTTCCAACCTAGCTGATAAAGTGTGTAGAAGATTATCGTGGAGTTCCTAAAAGGACTCACTGCTTAATGTCATGCCAAGAGATTCCATGTTTACTTAATGCCTGGATATTAGAAGCAAGGAAATTGTCAGGAGTAAAAGGTACAATACTGAAAAGCTAGAACAAACACTAGCAACAAGATGATGTTGTTAATATCATACTGTGAAAATATAGAAGAATATACACTTAAGATGATGATGTTAATATCATACCGTGAAGATATAGAAGAACTTAGCAAAGAGGCAAAGCAAAAAGTGAGCCACTCAAGTACTAAGCACACTAGAACCAAATGGTTGAGGATAAATTTATTTCTGAAAATTCAAATATGTAGGATGGAAAGAATATGACATTTCAAAATGCAATGTTAAAGTATATTAGACTCAAATATAGTTTAGAGGACTCCACTTATATGCCTATTAGGATATCAGTCATCAGTGGTGTATATGAGATATTAGCAGCAGATTTTACATTGCGCTGCTTCTCATTCGCCTTATTCTTTTTGTTCTTGTCGATGACCCCACAAGGTTCTAAAGTTTGAATTTGGTTAATTCCAAAGTCATTTCCCATTTTCCTTGCAAATTAGTAAACTGATAATGCTTTGATAAAAATAAAAACAGAATCCAGTCAATCAATTTGGAAAATGACAGTTAACCTCTCTTTCTTACACAATATTCTTGCCTTAAATAGAGAGCTTTGGAGTTGCAATAAATAGTAGTATTGTACAACAGATTAGGTGAAAAAATCTAAGAAAGCCTATACACATTTCCAAATCTAAGTAGGTTAAACAATGTTTAAGCAATTAGTTAAACTGAATTATTTCAATTTTTGTTAAGTTACATCATCCTCACTGCTCCTCTTGGATTCATTTTCAGCGTGAGAGACATATAAGCCAATAGTTCACTGAAGTCACAGTACCTTCGTCAGTTCAAATATCCTCAGTATACTGATGGTTAAACAAGTACACAAATCAGCATAACAAATAAGTGCACATAGGCTAAAACAGATAGATCAAGTACTAGCTCTGCTAATAAATATATACTCAATCAGATTACGAAATTAAGCTTCCAAAAGTGATTCTTTGAAATAGGATAGATAGGTTGCCAACCAACCAACCTACCATGGACCCGGCACCCTTAATTATTTGTCATTGATATTTCACTGTGGTCCCGATCAATCCAGTAGGACCAAGAGCTCAGCACACCTATGGACGCCCACCAACCTATTGAGCTAATCAACTATGAGGATATAAGCTAGTTGCTTTTACCTCAACCTTATTGAAATTAACAAATTCTCCCTTGCTTGTAGAAAGAAAACTATTAACCTGATATAATCATTATAATCATGCCCCC